ATAAAGAACTTTCTCACGGCTACCGGTAAGATAAAGTTTCCTGCTACGCCTATATCTAATAGTGCGTTTATCTTATATTTATTAAGTCGTATTCTGATATAATAGTGCCCTATACTGCTACGTGTTATAGAGTATATCTGTCGAGTGCTTCTCGTATACTCCTAGCGATAGTATACTCCTAGTTTTTTACCCGTTTAGCTCGGCGTTCAAGGGATATTTCCTTATCTAAGAACCCGTACTAGATTAAAAGCCATTCTATCTATCGTAGGCGCTTATCGAGGGTCCAGAAGCGTAACTCCTAAGCTCCTTAGTCTTATCCTAGTTATCGGATTTTCTTAGAAGCGTGTGCTACGTAGCTAGTGGTATTATATTCATCTAACCGGCACCCGTAGCAGTTATGCCTAGGTGGTTAATCGTCCGATCCTCGTAGGCTTATTATTAGGTTAGTAAGAGTGTCTCGGTTTTCCTAAGCGCGGTGAGGTCGCTAACGTGCAGTTTGCTACTATCCCCCGCTAGTATTCGTGGGTATCCTATAGTAGGCGTTATCGAAGTTAAGTTTAGTAAAACGAACTTAGTGGGTCTATCTAAGGGGTTCTTCTATAAGCTGGTCGAGTATCTATAGCTGGATAGCCTCCTTCTTAACTAGGTCGGCTGCTTCTATGGGTTAATACTAGAAGTTCGTGTTATTATCCGGGGTTCTATCGGACTCCGTTTCCTAATCTTACCCTTCGAGTTTAGCGACTCTTTCTTAGGCATAATCTCCTTCCTTCTGGATTTCTAAGACCCGCTTCTACCTCTTAGCTTTTTCTTTCGTCTATCCGTATTTTTAAAGGATTTCTGCGATAGTTTATAAAGCTAGTTTATCATTATCCTAGTCGGGGATCTTAAGGCTATAGTCGTTATCGTACTCGTTATTAGATACTATAGCGAGTATCTTCTAGGGTCTCTTAGGGTAGTACCTAGCTCCGTGTTTCCCTGATTAGTGTGCTAGATAATAGTTATCATAGCAGGTTACCTAATAGAGGTTAATATATAGTATTTTATCCCTATGAATTTCCAGGTATCTAATAGCGTTAATTTCCTTCTAGGGTCTTCCTTTCTCGATCGTATTCGCCTATTATTACGGTTATTCTTTCTTAGGCTTATAATAGTTATATACGTAATAACCTGGCCTATTATAGTTATAATACTTAACTTTTGTTATATCCCTTTTACCCTGCTTATCGCTTTATCGGTTAATATTATCGAGCTCTATAAGTCTACTATAATATCTATATAAGGTATTTCCGAACTAGTATAAGTATAATTATTTCTTCTTTGAATTAGCCGTGTAGAACGGAACGCTTATTTAATACTTCTTTTAACGGCGTTATTTATAGTTCCGGTTATCGATACGAATTACTATTATAGTGTATTCGCTAAACGTCTTAGGTTAGTCTACTCGGTATAGTTCGTCCTTCACTTCTTCCTTAAGTCCTTAGTAGTACCGATCTATAAAGGGCTTATCCGGGTAGCTAAGCTTTAATAAGATTTACTAGAATCTCGTAGTATAGTCCGTAACTAACTTAGTCTAATATAGCTAGCTTAGTCGTTCGGCCGCGACTCGTTCCTTATCGGGCTAGCCGAAGATAGCGTTAAGTCTCTCGACGAATACGTCGAAGTTCTTGAAGATTACCGTGGTCCCGGGCTTCCTTAGGATCTCTATTCCTATATTCTCTAGGTAGTCTCTATAGATAGACTCGAACTATTCGTGCGTATCTCCTATAAGGAGCGCCGCGGTATAGAGTACCTTAGTTTCTTCCGTACGAATACTATCCTAGTAGAATAGGAGATAGCCTCTAAGCTAAGTAATAAAGCTCTAGAGCTATCCTCGAGTCCCGTTATACTTAGGGGGTGTAGGGTATCTATACTTAGCCCTGATTCTAGGATAGTTTAGCTAGGCTTTTAGGGTCGTATTCTCCCCCTGAAGCTAGGTGATTATATCGCGAATCTGCTAAAGGTCGTTGCTTCCTCTAGTGGTAGTGGTAGGCGTCGCGGTGCTTATAGCGTTCGTGGTACGGTTGTTATTCGATATATTGGAAGAGTGGTTACTAGCTACTTCGTTATCTTATTAAGGTTATTCTGGTCCTTCCTCTTCGTCGGAGGAACTGGATTCTTCAGACGATGATTCTTCTTTAGATAAAGTGACTTCTTCTTCCTTAGGCGAAGTAGCTTCTGCTTCGGGCGTACTGCTTATTAGCTATTAAGGTTAGCTTACCGAACAGGATCGATTAAAATATTATGACGGCTTCCGGTCCTTTATAGTATAGCGGACGATAGGGGACTAGCGTCGGAGTTTTAGTTTAAAATAAGAAGAGGATATTAACTAAAGAGCAGTAACTATCGTTCGTAGTATTTAGTCGTAGTTACATCGTAAAGACTAGGCGTCTTCTTTATAAGGTAGAGTTAAGCGTAGACTAATAGTCTAGGTAAAGACTTAGATTAATCGATATCTTATTCTTTAGTAGAAGTAAGACCTAGGATATTCTGGTTTATATAGTGATAATGCCTCCTTACCCGTAGTGACTATTCCTTACGTGGTCGCTATGCCTAGGTGATTCTGTCATAACCGATCACTTATTAGTCACTTCGTCGGAGTGATCGACCCCGGTCCGTCCCGGACGGTATACTAAGTACCTCCGTACCTGGTAACACGTGACTTA